TCCCTTGATTGGGAAGTTTCCTCCAAGAAGCCCACGAGGCCCAAGGTTGCTTCCCAATCCCTATGTCCATGCCGTCTCCCACGGCTGCCAAACGAGTGATTCCCCCATGTTTCCTGAGGAGTGCCATACCAGAGAGAGAGGGGAAAATAAAGAGATACAAAGAACTGAAAAATCCCAAACGCCATGCCTATCCGAGTCCGTAAAAAAACGAAGGAAGTGAAATCCGTTTTTCTTTTTCTTCTTGCTCGTCTGCCTCTGCCCATGTCCGGAAATTCGTCTGAATGCTGGTCATAATCGTGGGTGTTTGTTGAGAGCGTAAAAATGTTCAAAGAAGCCCTGGCCTCTGCAAGGGCATCTGGTGGTGTCGTGAAAAGAGGCACTGCGGGGTTTGTTGTTGGGGTGGTTTTGGGGTGTGAGGGTATATGATGAAAAGTAAAATGCAAAGGGACAAGGGCTGCGTGCCCGCCCGTTACCATGATGAAAGGATCTGTCTCATTCATGCTGGGTATTGTGTGTACCATGCTGTGTGATGTTGTGGGAGAATGCGAACTGAGCAGTGAGCCCCAAGATAGCGCTGGACAAAGGGTGAAGACGGCAGCTGCAGACAGTGAGTATCTGACTTCTTTCGTCAGAAGAACCCTTTATTTCTTGGCCATGTTGGTTTGGAGTCGCAGAATTCTAGTCCGGAACCAAAGAACGAAGCTGGTCCAGGCACCCTGCGTCTTGCGCTTGGCAGTCTGGGAGCGACGGGGTCCTTCAAACATGAGTTCATCAGCAACAGGCGCTTGGCCCTGGTCGGTGCTCTCGTAGTTGCGGCTGGCAAATCCGACGTCGCCCTGGGCTCCCATGGCCAACTTCTCAGCATCGGTAGTGGCCTTCTTGGCATCGGGACCAGTCTTCTTGCGACTGATGGAAGGGCGGATAATGTCGCTGGAGCTGTTGCGGGTGCTGTGGGAGAAGCTCTGCTTTCGGGCGGCCTCCTTTGCCTCTCTCTTCATCATCTGGTGCTGCTCACGCTCATAGCGCATGGCCTCTTTGACATCGGCACGCTCTCGGTCGCGCATGTCCTTCTTATCCTTCTTCTCACTCTTGGCTCGCTCCTTCTCCTCCCAGCGGCGGCGCTCCTGTCGGATGCGTTCCTGGTGATAGTTGGAGTCAAGCTCGGAACGAGAGCGAAGGCGAAAGCCCTCAATGGAGGTGCGAAGGGGTGACATGGCAGTGACTGAAGTTGAGGGCGAAGCTGAGGATAAAGGTGAGAGTACAGGTGCAGTACTACTCGGGGCAGCTGACTCTGATAGTCTGCCTGCTGAGATGTTGATATCCGAGTGACTAGATACGTGGACTAGTCGTGACGAGGTAGTGTTTGAATTTGTACGACTGGTGTTGATGCGCAATGATGGAGGACCAGTATGGTTGTTGATATCGGATAGGGAGGAAGTGCGGCTTGCCAGTGAGGGTCGCCTGGGGTAAGAGGAAGAGGAAGGATTGCTGGTGATGGGGATTGCAGAAGATGCGGGTAATGGCGGGTGGTAATTACTGCGATGATGTAAATAATGCTGTTCCAGCAGATCGTCGTCGTCTTCTGTTATTGTCGGGGAGTAGTCGCGGGGAGCAGGGATGGCGGCAGAGATGTTTGTATTGCTGTTGCTATTGGCGTGTTCGATGCTGGCGAGAGAATTGGCGTATGAGAGAGGTGGTGTTGAGGTGCGCGGTGTTTGTTGGAAAGGATGAACGAAGCTGCCGTTTCGCTGGCCACTGCCACTTGTAGCAACACTGACGTGGGAGGTGCCGCTGGTCGATCGAGCGTGGGAAAATTTGCTCCTTCCGTTGTTGATACTGCCGCTGTGGTGAAGTTCGGTGGCCGAGATGCTGAAGCTGACGTCCCTTCCACCAAAAGATCCTTCCCTCTCTCGTCCCAGGCTGCCACCACCCAGACTGCTCCCATAGTTTCCAAACATCGTCTGCTGCTCATCCCAACCACGATCCAGATCCAAAGAGTTCTTTTCCGAGTGCGACAGCTTTTTTAGAATCGGCTTCACCACTGGTTTGCTTCGCGACTTGGACAATTTGCCCGGCACCGCTGCGCCCGTTACATCAGTGTACGAAGTCATCGTTGCTGACGTTGTTTACAGGCAGGCTGCTCCTCATGCACAGGGGTTTTCCTCTTTGCTTCTTGTCCTTTCCTACGCTCTACTACTGGCAACGTCGCGTGCTGCCTCTTTCGATCGCGGCGGCGGCTTGCTTGGCGGATCAAGCTTTCTCTCTCGACCAACTGGTGATGGCGATGGCCAGACTGCCAGACCGGGACGAGTCCTTCACCATGCAGGCCGGGGCCGCAGACCGACACCCCAGTCTCTCAGAGACGACTCTCTTTACAGCGACGATAATCACCGGACGCGATGCATGGATCGGGCAATGGAGATACGCAATGGCGACAAAGGCGACGGCAGCGGCGACAACGGCTGCTATGGTTCGATGCCAAAGACGACGCGATGTGTCTGGTAAGGACTGTGAGCAAATTTAAATCCACCGAGGCGAAGAAGCGGCAGTCATGTCATCCAACATACGGTGAGACTTGGACCCAGATGGGAGGGGGAGCGAGATGAGCGGCGCCGGGGGGGTTATCTAATGGGCGAGATGAAAGGTGGGAGCGACAGGCTGACGCAGCGGAATGGGCGGAGTCCCCAGGCGGATGGGATGGGATGGGACGGGATAGGATGAGCGATGAAGAAGAGTGTGTGGCGGTCGTCTCGGCCTGCCTCACCTTGTCGTTTTCAGCAGACACTGCCCACGCAGAACTGATTCAGCGACGGCAAAGCCAAGAGGTCGTCGGCTCAACCCGAGTGCGAGTAGGCCAAGAACGACTGTTGTTGCCGTCGACTTCGCCGTTGTCGTCGTTGTCGTCACTCTTCTTCACCTACTAACGCTGTTGCTACGTCGTCTTCGTAGTGCTGCAAATGGCAGTGTTCCTTGGGCAGTGGACGACAACTACGGTCTACCTGCTCCAGCGGAGAAACAAGATGAGGGGAGGGAAAACGAAAATGGGGAAACGAGACACAAGAGCGACAAGACACCCCCAAGCAAGTCAAGTTGTACAAGGGCCAACACCGACCGTCCGCATCGGCACCAGGGAACAGCGAGCCCAGGCCACCGCCAAAAAGTGCGCCGAGCATCCGCAACCCGCTTGGCTACGCCTGAATCAGCCTCATTCCTTTCCCAACTGGCATGGAGCACGTGGGGGAGACCAAGAAATGCGCCCGGAGAAGGATCGAGGGCACCGAGCTGGAGCGCGAGACTTTGACATGGAAGAAGGAGGGGTTACCCTTCTAAAGCGGAAGCAGTGGTGTGGCGTCGTTTGGAACCTTTAGCCCGCCGGGTTTTAAGGTTACGGGCTCTCAGGACAGGCCCAGACGGCTCAGCGTTCCAAGGTTGCTTCCAGAGTGTCTTGCCTCAGGGAGCGCGGTCGAGATAAGTTTCTTTTCGCTATATCTCTGGCTGGCTGACTGGGTTGGGTTTGTTTACAAGGAAGCGGATATGTTTTGTTGATGTTGCGGCTTTTTCCCAGGGTCTGTCCCCGAACAAGGCGTTACCGGTGAGGTGAGAGAAAAGGCGGGCTCGTGGGCCTCAGGTGACCGAATGAGAGGGCCTGGAGAGGTGAGGATGGATACTGGAGAATCAGAACTAATGAATATTATCTGGGTCCGGTCCCGGGGTCGACCGGGTGGAACAGACGGGGATTTGACGTCGGCGATGGCAAAAAAGCAGGGCAAAGCGAAGCCGTGCAAGCGATGGTGTGAAGGGGGCCTACGAATCTACGGCCACCGCGCCGAGGACTACTATTGTGTATGGTGGAGAGCACGGCATTGGCACTGGTGGTGTTCTCGCGTTGGCAGAGAGGCAGAGGCAGTGGCAGTGGTGGCATTGGCATTGGCTGCCTCTGCTGAGCTTTCTGTTCAACGCCGAGCGCAGTTCGAAGGAGAACGTGACCTACATACACGAACAAGACTATCCCCTCAGTTTCCAGGCGCACCGCCGCACACAAGCACGCGCGCAAACGCAAGCACTGAGTCTAGCAATCCCACGTTACCTTACGCCCAGCCAGGGCCGAAGCAGGAATGGAACAGCGGACCAAATAACGGTCAGAGATTGATGGGATGAGATGGGATGGACGTCGTGGGTGAAGACTGTGAAGGACAAGAAACCCAGTCTCCCCGTCGACGGCCTTGCTCTGTAGTAACGGCACCAACAAACGGCTTCTCGCGCACACACTGACTAGCACAACCTTACACCAGCAACCCCAACTGTGTGAGAGACACACGGCGGTTGGCAGGTCACCCTCACCTTGTCCTGCTTCGGGTCGGTCTCATCTAAACACCCAACTTGCCGATTGCAATTTCCAAATAGAATACCTACCGGTATTTCGCGCATGGCGAAACCAGAACCTGAACAACAAGAAAGCTTCCAGGAACATCTGTTTGCGGATGCAAGGCACAGCGGCCCCGGCCACAGAGAGAACAAGACGAAGCAGAAAACAACGATCCTTCAAAGAAGAATGCCGCGAGACACAGGCCGTCTGGGACACAAAGTCGACCCCATCGTTCTCGAATTGAAACAGAGCTGCATCAAGCTAAAAGGCTACACTCTGCGAATGAAAACGCTCCAAATCCCACGTCCCGGCACCCATCCCCAGCCCCCCCTCCCTCAATAATCCTCAATTCCTCATGCGCTTGTCCACTCACCGTCTGCAGCCCATTCCTAGTCGGGTTCGCGGTTCACGGGATGTCCTCCACATGCGAACGAGGGCGACGAGAAGGAAACGGGGCAAAGTGCTCTCTCCGGCAAATCAACTTCACCGTCACTTTCCATCACCCACCACTCGCAAACGCCAGACTCTCATGAATCAACATGAATCTCCGGCCCGAATGCCAGGCTCACCCACACCCCCACAATCCTGCATCCTTTGGAGATGACGCTTACTTTCCCCCAATCACCATCGCCAAGTGCCTCACCACCAATGGTCCAATATCGTGTCCCAGTGTTGCAGGACAAAGCTTGCCTCTCGTATGCTTATTATATCTGCTGTCAACGTTAATGGTTGCCCAGGCCAAAGTCAAAAATTCAGAATTATTTCCCTCTCGAGTCTGGCTGGATTCACTTTAGCACCCCATGCCTTGTTCGTTGCCAAGGGCACTTCCTTGACATGGCAAAACTTCAAAAGACATCCGATGACGATGACGAGCCTCGGGCCGCCCGGTGGCAGCAGCAACATAATTACAATCTCGCCCAGAACTAGCATTAGGACATGATACACCCAGTATCGGTCAGCAACATCGACGATTCAGCAGCCATCGTACGCATTTTTTTTCTCGCTATGTGGGCTGGATCGTTGATGCTGCCACTGCCACTGCCGCCGCCACCACCAACACCAACACCATTACCTACCTACCTACCTACCTCTAGCAACTCCAACGCCAGCGCCAGCGTCAACGAAATTTCTGTTTTGCTGGCCATCCAGCTCTGTTCTCTGACAGGCTGCTCCCCGCACAATGCCAACCTGCAGTTGCACGAATCAAGTCGCTCGGCCAGCTCAGCAAGGTGAAGCGACTGCAGGGCCACCACCAACCACAACCCTTCCTGCTCGGACTCTGTGGCATGTTTACCCCGCCACCGAGACGCCTTGCAGATAAATGTCGAATCCTCCTGGAATTCCAAAAACAGAACCCGCCCGGTCTTTGTGCATACTCGCTTGACCATCGTCAGAATATGTTTGGAAATTGGGATTCATCACTGCGTATTGGCAGTGGCCCTCCTGGGCTGACACAGGTAGCCACAGATGCGCCATGGGTGCAAATACGATGCCCAGAGGCATTTCACAGCGTCAAATCCAGTGAAGAAGAAAATACCAATCGAATAGCAAGGCGGGCGATACCCGCGGCCACACATCCGTAAAACTCTCACCATTTTGATGGCTTTACGGCGCTGGTCTTTGCCCCACTCTCCTCCGACCCGGCCCCTCTCCCCGACAATGCCCATCTGAACTCAATCTTGAGTTGCATCTTCGAACCATGTTTCGACCAACTGCACAGATGTTGCGACCAACCTCGCTCGGACTCGAGGCAAACCCCGCGTCCTGAGTGGTCAAAGATTTCTGAACCGTGACATTCTGGGCCTTCGACCGGCCTCGACCAACCTCCTTTTCATCGGAATTACATGCCTGGCACCGAGAGTGAATATGATAATGCAGGGTGACAGTCTGAAGACAGCAATCACCGCAAGGCTTCTGATCCAATGACTGAATGCTGAAAACCACCGACAAGGCAGGAGACAAATGTTGATTCTGCGACCTCTTTGTCTATTGCAGTCCTTGGCTTGCTTACAGGCCCCCCGCTATCCCCCCTCTTCTCGATGGATATACGTGCATGTCGGCGTATGTACGTACGGGGACTATCTGCCAGCCCGCAGTGTGAGAATATCTGAAAATAGCCCCAGCCGCCGCTACATTGCCCTTCACTCCAAGTCCCCTGCCCCGACGGGGTACGTCCGGCGGCGTTGGCACCAGCTCCGGCAAAGTTGGACTTTCGGGGTTTTTTTGGGGGGGGTTTTTTTTTAGCTGAGTATGTCAAGGAATTGGACCTGTCGGATTGTTTTGATTATTCCAGTCTTGATCGCTTTTAGGTCGTGAAGCGGTTCATCGGAATGGGTTATCTAGGCACGAAGAAGTGGCACTTGGACCAACATCCATATGCTTAGTTGCCCAGATCCAGCTGAACCCGTCGACTGCGCCTGGATGACAAACTGGCATAGTTGAGATGGGTATTTTTTCGCCCATGAATCTGCTATCTTGAGAAGATCTTGGTCTCAGCTAGTTAGGCCCTCGGTCCATGGGATGTCCCTTGCTCTTGTTTCTTTTGGTGTAACGATCGACATCGCTTCCTAAGTGTCCGTACTGCCGCTGCCTAGGTATTGGTGCTACTGCCGCTAGCTGGTAGGTTCCTGATGATCAGTTTCCCCGGACCGGAACGAGTACTAGAAAGCCTAGGCTACCTTGGCATTTAAAACATCCCAGGAAAAGCTCATTCTTTAGCCTCACATATGTCGCCCCTCTTGTTTCGTTAGGTTCGGTAGAGAATAATGAGTACCGTCTCTTGTCCAAATTGCTGTAAGCTTCAGGGCAGCTGTTGATCCCGACGACTGGAAGAAGTTTTATCATCATCGTTATGCGTAAATATATCAACTTAGACCGAAAGTGTATGCGGGGAAACGAGGGGGATGTATACCGAATGTTAGGCCTATGTGTCAACATCACACAGTCCTCATAGAGATCACCCAACGGCTCTCTGACCCTTTTTCCCTTTTCGAAACACCGTTGGGCATTCCTGTTTCATTCATATGTCTTTATAACCTTACATACTAAGGCATGCTATGATGCTAGTTCAGGGAGAGATCGTTTATGCGTTGATAATTTAGGGCGAGCCAAAGATAGTACAGTAATGGGTTTGGTTATGCAGATCGTTAGAACGACGTTCCAAAACATTGATTTGCTTGAATATGTATGCCACGATGGACCTGCGCGAACTTTGGTGATCCTGGCATTCGGTGGCTTTCCCGTGAATGTCTCTGGTTATTTCAATGGCATGAAGTACTCATTATGTCTGTCTTGCGTGAAGTCGTCGTGTCTGACATGCGACGGTGACAAGTCGATATTTACTTTCCACGACGAATTAATGACACGAGGCTTCTCTACAGAGGATCGAACCCGCCGTGCCATTCGAGTTTCCTTTTTCAGGCTTGTGAATTATTCGATTGTTATACCGAATCAAGGCAGCGTCGTGCGGTAGATGGTTCTTGATGTCAATGTCTTGGAGTCTTTTCTCTAGGAACAGCGGTTTCAAGACGTCTATGCTTCGCTCTGACGAGTATCGTCGGGCTGCTGGCGTTCCCACAGATGCCACTGCTGACATTGGAGCATTGCCATGATGCAGGATGAGTGATAGTCTGCGATCGAGTATGGTAGGAAAGTTGTTTAAAAGAGGCTGAGGCAGCGGTATTCGGTGACACCTCATATATAGCTCGAGTGATAGGCGCTGGGATACTGAGTATATGTGTATAGTGAACTAGCGAGGAAGAAGCATATGTTGCGCGACCCGGACACATATGAGCCAAGTCATCAGCGTAATATATAGTACAAGTGCGCATAAAGAGAATAAAAAGAGTTCACCACCGGTGTGGCTACTTCTCTCGGTGCACATGCTGGGACTCGAATCCGGAAGCCTGTCGTCGAGTAGGCTCGTGGGCGTATAATCGATTGTTTACCTTAGACCACTCCACCACCGAGCCAGTTTGTCCTGGACCCCCGACCTAGAGGGGCGCCTAATGTTTGTTGACTGGACTGGAGTTGAGGGGGTATATATGGGCTCGTGGTTGTGGTGTAATGTGGTGTAATATGGTGAATATACGGTACGCGTGATGATTCACCGGGTAGTCGACCTATGCACCTCGCTCCTCCTACCACTGTGGCAGTGGCAAGATGAATGATTCACCAGCCCGGGCTGAATCCTCAAGATATGATTCAGCTGGATACTCGTGTTGAGTCAATAATGTGTGCTTCCACTAAAAATCTTCCGACTTCCTCCACAGACGAACACCTGCCTGTGTCTTTCGCATGACGCAGGGGATTGCCTGCCAAGCTTGACCAGCCTCTGACCGCCCGCGTTACCTTATTGGAATACGAAGTACCGGAGAGCAAATCTAGGCTTCTATTCATCTCTGGACTCTACACTCTTGAAGTATCTCTTTCCCCAGGGGAGGTCTATCCAGCCCGTGACCTGTCGGCAGTATGGTCCAGTAAGCCCAAAGTACTCTCGCTGTTCCCAGTCTACTACTCTCCTGCTCTCTTTCAAAGGGCTATATCCCGCACGAGGCTTCAGGTTGCCGTCGGTCTTACTGGTGGAACTGACCGTAGACATCACATCACCCACTTTGACAAGGTACGGAGAACATAAGGCTAGCTTCAACAACCACCCCGGGATAATGTTGCATGCTGTTAATTGTCATATTTGCGTGGCTGTCGTATGCGGCTTAACCATGAAAGTCAAGGCTTCTGGTATGAACGGTCTGAGTTGGCCTGCTCTCTCGACCACTATGTATGTGCCGTTGCAAGTCAGAGGGGTGAGCTGTCACTGTTCATATTCATTTAGCTCACATCACGTAAAGACAGCAAGGAGCTGCGATCAGAGTTGTCATCCATATACCCAAGAGAGTGGAAGTCAGAACAAATGTATACGTTTGTTATAAAAGTGTGTGGCAGCAATTAGTAGATGCTGTAAGTGTAATACATATCGCTTTGCAATACGGAGTATTTGGTCTACAAGAAGGGAAAAGAGTATGCACCGAGATGCAGCTCCTGGACATCACTAACTAGTGACGTAAGCCTCCGTCTATATTCAATATATCAGTTACCACGACAATGTCCAGCCGCCCCTACGTAAACGATACAAGTCCGTCTTCATCCTCGATAAGCACCCTTCTCCATCCCCCTCAACCCCAAGCGATATCCACACCGGTGAGGGGCACATCACTGATAAATGACGAACTCGACATGCCACAAGAAAGAATCCGTCATGTGTTTTTCTCACCATAGCCGATGGATGGGTGGGAAGGGGCTTACATCGGTGAGTAGGGGTCGAAACGCGGGGCTGGTGGTGGTGGGCTGTTGGCTTTTCGCTCGGCTAAGCCAAAACCGCAGTGAGATTCCAGCAAAAAACAGCCCGGAGAAAAAGACCCCACGCCTTTACGGCTTGCGGCTTGCTGCCTTGCTGCTCGCTTCGCTTCCCCCCTTCCCACTCCATCCCCCTCCTCCTCCCTCTGACTGTCTTCGCGTACGGATACATGGCACCATTCGCTTTTCGATGGCATACAGCCTTCACCGATGTTGCCTATTCTAGCATACCGGTCAAGCCCAAAAAAGTGTACCCGCTAGGGGGATGGAGTGAGCCAACTTTTGCGCCCCCCCCCCGTAATCCCCATCCCCCTTCCCTCTCCCGGTGAGCTGGCTTTTGATAAGGGAATACGGTCGTCTGACCGAGTGGGATATGTGTTATATATGAATGATGACAGAGTTTCTCTCTCTAAATACTATGGTGCGCCCAACTTGAAGTTCAAGTATTCGACTTTGTGTTTTCTCTTCAAATCTTCTCCGAGCCGAAATGCCGGAATACTGACCTCGAGCTGTGTCCCTCACGGGCAGTTTACACCGGGTCCTATTCCACCATCGAGCTCGCCCGATCAACGCCTGCCTTCTCGATATAGCTTGACTAGCTTCCATGGATAGCACAGGGAACAGCCCAGGGGCGGTATATCAGACAAGTCCTGGTCTCGAAGCACCTCGACTCGAAACAGAGTACTCGAATCACCAAGCCGACCATAGATGAAGTCTAGAGAGCCATGGACGGGGAGCATATTTCGACCTGACGTCTATCAA